TTACCGTCCTATATGATGACTTAGAATAGGAGATATATATGCAGCAGCTAGAAGGCTTCTCATACAAAGGAAATGAAAAGTTCGTGTGCAAATTGAAGAGCATGTATGCTTGAAGCAAGCTCAGAGATAATGGTACAAGAAGTTTGATGGATTTTTGCATAAAAAAGTGTAATATATAAAAGTTCAATGCTCATTGTTGCTACTTCAAAAGATTCATGTTAAATTATATCATTTTGCTACTTTAAGTCGATGACATGTTAGTAGTAGGTTCAAATATGGATGAAATCAAGAAGTTAACGATAATCCATCAACAGAATTCAAAGGGAAGGACTTGGCTGCAACTAAAAAAAAAATCTTGGGATATGAATTGTAGGGACAACCAAAAGAGTATTTTGAGGCTATATTAGATAAAATACATTGGTCGAATTCTATTGAGGTTACCATTGACCACTCACTTTTGTCTATCCAATGATCAGTCGCCAAAGACTGAAGACGGCAACTTCACGGCTAAAGTTCCATAAGCCTTAGTCATTGGAAGTTTAATTTATATCATGGTCTGTAAGGGAGTAAAATTTGCTCATGCAATGGGAATTGTGAGAATATTCATGGTAAATCCTGGAAAGCAACATTGGAAAGCAGTAAAATGGATATTGGAGTATTTAAAGGGTGCTACTGACAAATGTTTATACTTCAGAAGAGGCGAGTTAACACTACAAGATTTTGTTTTTGCTATCGAGGTTGGTCTCAAAAGGAGCGTAAGGTTACCTGTGACCTGCCTATTAAATGTGCTTCCAACAATTTTCTATTAAAGTCGTGTTTCTGGCATATACATTTTTACTGATTTGAGACTAAGGCTGGATTGCTGACACTTGGCATTGCACTCACCGTTGGATGTGATTCTAGAGGCTTCTACTATTTATCTTCCACGAGACGCCTTTTGGGGATTCATTCGTTTCACTTTTTTGACTTTTGCTCTCGCCTATGTTCTCTTTCCTTTAGAGAGAATAACCTCATTCTTCCCTAGAGTTTACATTCTTGAGCGATTGAATCGTGTAAACTGTATATTCTCTTATATCTACTTCTGATTGTTGTGAAGTTAGGATTCTTTGAGTGATTTGGGTGCTGAATCTTTTGTGATTCGAGCAGTTTGTGAGGTGTTAGGCAGATCTTTGTGATCTAGCCTATTTTGTGTCTTAAGGGTGTTCGATCCAAAGGCATGTGTAAAGATAAGTCTCTGTGGCCTTTTGTCTTGTATTCTTGAACTGATTGTAACTATTTGTTACCATATTTTAGCTATTTAGTGTAATCGAGCAATATCCATTATTTGAATGCTCAACGGGGGAAGTAGGCGTTAGATTCAGTCACCAAAACTTCGGAGCTTAGGCCAAAACATATTTTTTGTTCATTTTTAATTTCTGCAACTTTTTACTTTCTATTATGAGATTGATTCTTGTAGATCTTATTTTAATATCATGTGGTTTAGGCCTTTTCAGTGGTATCAGAGCCTGGAACCCTGGAACTGAAAGAACAAGATACCTGGATCTTCGAGGAAATGTTCGATCTATTGTAGGTCAAACAATTTTGGAACTGCTGAAAAGCAAGTTAAAGAATTCGAGTTTTTGTTAACTCGTTGGGTGAGATCCTTCCTTCTATTTCTGTAAAAGTTTTAAAATCTTTTTAGGATTTCTTGATCATATCCTTGATTTACCAAAACACTGCTGAAATTCCCTTGAGACTAATCTTTGTCCAGTAGCTCCTGTGAAGCTCCTGGAATCTGAGATAAATCAAGTTTGGGTGTGTTTGCTGGGGAGTCTTGCTGGAGTGATTTGTGAAACATAGAATGTGATCTTTGTTGTGTTCTTTAATTGAGCTTGTTCTGTATGTTTTAGTGATCTCTTTGATTGATATTTGATATCTTGTATTACTACACGTGATACAGTTTAAGTTGCTGAAATTGTTGTAAGTCTCTGATTGATTTTTATTATCTTGAATCCCTACTTGAGCATCATACTTGTTTTCAAATATGGCTTCTGCTAAGTTTGAAGTTCCGCAATTTGATGGTAAATGTGATTTTAATATATGGTACCAAAAGATGAAAGCTATCTTAATGCAAATTTGAGTAGCTAGAGCTCTTGATAATAGTTGGCCTGCCA